TGAATTTTGTTACATGTAAATGATAAACATTTAATGAAAAATATAATAAAAACAAAAGAATACAAACTCTACAAGATATTTTACACCGGATGTCCTTCCTGACATAACCACAGACCCCCGAGCTAGCACAGACCTCTGTGTGGAGCAGAGAGCTGCCAGCTGGGGAGCAGATGGTGGGGGTTAAGTGCCTTGCTCAGGGGTCCAAAGTGGGGCAAATGAGGGTGAAGGTAGGTGTGGGTGCTTCACGTTTCCCACCCAAATTTTGATGTTTTAGCTCCCGGGGTTGAGCTGGCAACCTTCCGTTTACAGGCTTGCCTTCTCTAACCTCTGCACCACCTCTCTCCCTAATGTGGTTTTCTTATATGTTTTGTAAATACAGTTTCTTGTGATTTTTGAGTTTTCTATGTTGCTGCTATGATTAAAAATACTGTTTTGTCCATTGTTGTATTTTGCCCTTTTCAAGGTCCATCCAGCCATTATCTTTTACCCGCTTCTTCCATTTTGGGTCACGTGGATCGCCGGTGCCCATGTCCAGCAATCACTGTGTGAGGGGCGGGGGTGGACAGGTCACAAGTCCATCACAGCCTTTTCAAGGTCACCACAGTTTAAATTTTGAAGGACTCGTTGGGGAAAAAAGTCACAGTCATGCGCATAGGCATCGCAACCATTATATGTGATGGGGACATGTCCCCCCCACATTAAAAAATCGTTAATTTGGACTCCCCCCCACACACACACACTTTTAATATGAAACATTAGTTCAGGCAGCGCAGTTTCTTTCTTCGTGAACCAATCCATTCCACTTGATTAATAGGAGAATAGTCAAACCACTAAAAATCCACTGCAGGTTTTCCTGGTTACATCCAACGCTCTTTGTACGTCTACTCCTGCCTCAGCAGAAAACGCTCACAGGTGGAGGAGATGGAGACGCCACTGTGTTGATCGCTGACCAGTTTAGCGAGCTTAGTGCGGGCAGTTGTTGACCGGGGAGGTTGATCATAAACTTATATTCATGTTAGGAGGAGAGAAGTGCAGCGCTACATCTGTAGCACCTTAGCTTAGCAGTGACCGTGACGCTGTAAGACACGACAGGTTTAAGAGACTCTGTAAGTTCAGGGGCATTAAAGTTGAAATATCTTTTAAACACCACACCTTATTGTTCTCAAGCTTAATGAGAAACACAATTTAGATGAGTAATGTTGAATACAAGTAAAAAAGTCTAGTGGTGATGTTTTTTATTTCTCTATAAACACAAATAGTGCTGACCTGACGCTCTGTATTAATGTGTATTAAAGTTAAAATGTCTTTAAAACCCATTGCTGAATTTACACAAACTTATTAGTGAGAAGAGAAACATGCTTTAAAAGGAATTAAAGTAAGGAAATCCGAATGAAATGTTGCTTTTTTGTACACTACGCGCATGTGCACACACACTATAGTGTCCCCCCCACATTACAGATGCTTCTGACGCCCATGGTCATGCGACAGATGAACAACCGTAGGACCAGATAACCAACATGCTGTTTATCATGCTGTAAAATCAAATCACAGCTGTTCATATTTAAACTGATGTCTTTATTAAACCATTGTTGGTTTGGCAGCACAAATGTTGTGTTTGTGTATTTGCAGCCACTCATCACAACCAGACTTCTGTGATTCAATAAATGACACCATATTTACTGTTTCCATCAGTAACCACAGTTATGTTGCCACTTGGACCAGAACTCAAGAGGACTGTATCATTATTAGCAAGGGCGTCAGAAGCATCCGTAATGTGGGGGGAACACAACGATGTGTGTAGGTGTGTGCGCGCGTGCGTGTGTGCAAAAGAAATGTACACTAATGTACAAAAAAGCAACATTTCACCTAGATTTGCTTTAATTCCACACATTTAAAGCATATTTTTCACCAAGTTTGTGTAAATTCAGCTGTGGGTTTTAGAGACATTTTAACTTTAATACACTTTAATACAGAGCGTCAGATCTGCACTATTTGTGTTTATAGAGAAATAAGAAACATCACCACTAGACTTTTTTACTTGTGTTCAACACTACTCATCTAAATGATGTTTCTCACGAAGCTTGAGGACAATAAGGTGTGGGGTTTTTAAAGACATTTCAACTTTAATGCACCTGAACACACAGCGTCTCTTACACTTACAGCGTCTTACAGTGTCACAGTTACTGCTAAGAGAACATGCTATAGACGTAGCGCTGCACTCAAGCATCCTCCTAACATGAATATATGTTGATGATCAACCCCCTGGTCAACAACTGCCTGCACCAAGCTTGCTAAACTGGCGAGTGAGCAACACAGAGGTGTCTCCATCTCCTGCACCTGTGAGCGTTTTCTACCGAAGCAGGAGACTCAGCAGCGACTGCCTGCACAGTTTCTGCTCTGTGTGTAGAGGTGGAGGTAACCTGGAGGTAACCAGGAAAACCTGGAGTGGAGTTTTATTAGATTGAGTATTCTCCTATTAATCAAGTGGAATGGATTTGTTCACGAAGAAAGAGAAACTGCGCCGCCTGAACTAATGTTTCATAGTAAAAGTGGGCTCAAGTAGGGTCCCAATGAAAGTTTTTTTTTTTAATGTGGGGGGGACTTGTCCCCTTCACATATAATGGTTGTGACGCCTATGATCATTAGTCATTTAAGAAAAATAAGCCAAATCAGGGCTGTTTCTCATTAATGCTTGTTCCTAAACTTGACGTGTAAATAACGATAATGAGGATAAATAACATTTTAACAAAGCCCACATAAGTATGAGGGTAAGGTCTATCCAAACACCTGGAGTCTTTTGAAAATTAGTCAGCAGGAAAATAAACACCTGTGTGGGAGGACTTTTATTGTACGAGAGCTTTAAGGCGTATCTGTGTGAAATAGAGGAAAGTTACTGTGAGTTACCAATGTGGACGTTAGCAGAGAACTGGTAGATCCCTGTGATGTGGGCAGTGAACCTGCCGGTGGTCTGGTCCATTCCTGTCCCTCTGTGGAACGCTCCTTTAGCAGGTGGCTGTAAACACAAAGAAACTTGTCATTTTATTGTAAGCTTACTGCCACAATAAAACCACCACAGACCAAAACAACACACAGCAGCTGTGCAGACAGAACCCAAACAGAATGAACTTTGACACAGCAACAAAATGACCTAATAGAGTTCACGGAATTGAGAACCTTTCTGTTTCCTTTTAACTTGTAGATGTTTCACTTTGTCAGCAGCTCACAAATATGACTGATACTGTACAGGCACAGGATATATACAGGTATTTGCACACTTTTTACAACCTAACAACTTGGGTTTCTTCTCTGCTTTCAGGAAGGCCAAGTTAGGATATCCACATTGCTCTAGAGCCTGTCTTGTGTGGGATTTCTCCTTCTGCCTGGCTCCTGAGCTAGTGGGGACGCTGTCTGCTCTGTGATACAGAGTCCTGATGACTCCTAACTTGTGCTCCAAAGGGTGATAGGAGTCAAACTGCAAATACTGGTCTGTGTGGGTAGGTTTGCGGTACACCTCAGTTTGCAAATGTCCTCTATCAGAGACTGAGACCTCACAGTCCAAGAAAGCCAACTTGCCATTTTTTTCATCTTCTCGTGTGAACTTGATGTATTTATCCACAGAGCTGATGTGGTCAGTAAAATGTTGGACTTCCTGAGATTTAATTTTAACCCAGGTGTCGTCAACATACCTGAACCAATGACTTGGTGGTGTCCCTGAAAAGGACGTCAAGGCTCTCTTTTCTACCTCCTCCATGTACAGGTTGGCAACAATAGGAGAAACTGGAGACCCCATAGCACACCCATGTTTCTGCCTATAATATTGCTCCCCATATGTGAAGTAGGTTGACTGCAG